TTTGGTTACTGTTTGAAGAAGAATTTTTAGTTACTGTTTGAAGAAGAATTTTTGGAAATTATTTTAAAGTTAGTGGGGAGGAGTGTTATAGATCAAGAAGTTATTTATGTTAGTTATGATTTTGTTATATACGTCTTACATCCAAATGTTGCGAAGTAACTATATTTAGAAGGCCTAGAACCATGACGTCACCAATGGGACTGAACGAGGAGATCGACAGTTCAAGTAATGCAGCAGGTTAGTAAGCAAGTTGTTAAGTGTCTTCTCTTGTCTAAGTATAACTGCAATAATATAATAATAGGTATTTGGTGAATAGTTAGGATCGAACCCGTGAACTTCTGGCTCATACACAGCTTCTTACACAATCAACCGCTAGGAAAAAACATTTACACACTCCCGTTACTCCGTTAGACACCCCAAATATACATAACATCCATGAAATGTCTATATAACGTTCAACATTTGGTGGCCTTTACAAAGGCCGTTTTTATACTCGACGGTAAAGTTCCGCTTAAGCCTTCTTTCAGCTGTTTCTAACATTAGATACGTGAATTATAATTTTTTTTCATTTGTTATACACTATAGCATATATATGTAAAATAAAATAAAATTAAATGTTTTTTTTACAAAGAATCAAACTCGTTAACCGGTAATGACATGTTTTGTGATAGGTTAAAATCGAACCCGCAAACCTCACACTACCGGAAATAACCCATAGACCTCCAACCAATATTTACACACCCTGTATATGTAAGTTAAGGTGTCATTTACCACTATAAACTCAATACCTAAAACTAGCGTCGTGGCTCAGTAGCTAACGACCCCGACAACCATCTAAAAGATTGGAGTTCCATCCCCGGTCAAGCCAACACTTTTTATCCATAATTAATTTAATATTAATATAAACACCTACGTCAGCTGATCATGCGCAGTATCAATTTTGTCCGCAATCGCCGCCACCCCTACTTCTGAGTGTGACTTTTATAATTTTATCTGATAGCGTGAAATAAAATTCATGAGGAGCGGCACGACACTATATTGAAATGTTTACCAAAGAACAGTTTCTCCTCTAGACTACGTTTTAAACTGCCAGCATAGCTATGCATGAGGCTGAGTTAATCATAAGTTTTAAATATATCATCTGGGAGATTAAGTATATCTTATTGTCAAGTATAATTCTATCGTTTAGTATTTAGTGTATAAGGAGGATTCAATTATAGGTTACAAGCTCCCAAACAGCTTACAGTAGACAATTAGAAGGGCCACCAGTCGATAATCTGACAAACTTGGTTACAAATTAGCTTCTCTTTAGGATATATTTACAAATACCATATGATTTTCTTTCATAATGATGAATGATAAGCGCAATGAGAATTTAAAGTTTGGCTTTTAGCTTATGTGTTTTAAATATTTTGGGAATTTATGTTTCAAGACTTTTTTTTAGAGGGAGAGCTTATCTCAACTATTACTAATTTATCTTTTATTAATAAGCCTGCATTACATAAGTGGAAACGTGATAGAGACTATGCTGTTTTTCTGTTCGTAGCGCAAGGAAAATCCCTACAAACACTATCATACTCATGGGCCCAACCTTAATTTGGTGCATTTCGTGACTGATACCACAGCTTCTACGAAACTCAAAAACACTCTTGTACATTTTAAAACTACATTATACATTTTGTGAGTGCACAAACATGTAATTAAACTAATTTATGGCAATCCGAACGTGTATAGATTTAGTTTTAACTCCGTTAATCATCCTCGATTTTAAATTAGTAATTATGAATGAATAATTGAGTCAATGGGTATTTAATACTAGTCACAACACAATACAAGGAATCACCATTCACACCACAAATGCAATATTTGTTATTAACACTTGTTTTCATCTATCGCCTTAATCTTTAGTAACGATTTAACATTACAACTATTGCAGACATCTTTTGCGATTCAAATCATATAAACACCGTATCTACAGTATGTTAGCGGTTTACAAAAATGTTACTTATAATGAACAAAGCTATATAACAATTATATTCATACCTGAAACTAATCAATACTCTTGAGAAGAAGATGATACACCAGATACTGTATAATGAAGCTCTCGTCATGTTGGTTAACTCATCGCTTGAATGCAGAATAATTAGTGACGAGAGATCCCCATACAGACAAAGCCGTCAAAACACATCTATTGACAAAGGGAATTAGCGGTTTAAACCTAATGGTGCTGTTTAGAGTTTTATAATGGATTAATAGCCACTACTAACTCTTTGTTTCTAGTAACAAGAGTCATTTAGTATTATAACTATATTTCTTTAAACCTGTATGCTTGCTTGAGAAGTGACAATCTTAAAATACGTTCACCTATTATACTTGGCATCTGTAAAAAAGGAAATTAATAACAATATTGATTTATAGTGCAGACATTCAACAATTAGTTTGTCATAATTTTATACACCTGAGGAGCAATCTTAGACATTAGAATTCAAACAACAACTAATATTGACTTAAGGAGACGGTTACAAATAAATAGAAGATAAAGTAAAAAAATATGAAATATATTTTCAAACAACACATAGAAAAATATTATTAATGAAAAATTTTACATATCTACTGGAAAAAAAAAAAACTGTGCAATCTTCTTAACACAATACAAATTCAAGAAGGAAACCAAATACAGGGTGAATCACGTAAGGTGTCCACTATTGATTTCAGACAAACCGTTGGTCCTACAGTGATGAAATAAAACATCTTCCCACAAAACCTACCCCAAGGAATAACTTTAAAATATTTTTAATGTTTTTAAATACATGATGTACCAAAACCAGAGGTTTAGAATTTTTTGTCCCACTATGATTAGAAGGGGTTCATTCACATCCTAGGACGCTGGTTCTAGCCCGGAACTGTTTTACACATTACTTCAGGCTAGTCGTAGAGGGTTCATTCATTATCACATCGATCAAATCCATTTGTAATTGGTGGGATTTGGGCCCGGGACCTCGGGCACCGTAGCCCTACGCTCTACCCCTAGACCAGCTCACTTATCCCTAGTCAAGTCAAGTAAAAACATCCAATATGGTGTCACATTACATTAACTTGAATACCAAATACTGAAACCAACCGAATACCAAATATCGATAGACCAAATACAAAATTGATTACAGCTAAGTAAATACATAAATACACTAGTCAAAACTCTTAATCTAAAAAAAAACTCACGTCATATTATACGTTATATTTGCTCTTGTTAATACAAATATTTTGGAGGAAACTGATTTCGTTTAAAAAAAGGTTCTTTATGTGAAAAATTAATACTATTACTGTTATACCTTATATTTATTTTGAATGCAGATATCTCTATTCTGATTAAAAATTTGCATTCTTAATGAGCTAAGTTTTAATACGTGTACAGTGTACTGACTTAACTATGATAATTGCCTCAGAGCTGAACTATGTTAGTTTGTTAATTATATGTTGCTGAATATCTATATTTTTGAATAATTTAAATACTATTCATGTACAAATTAATTTTTTTTTCATAATAAATGTAAAAACAAAATTAACAGAAATAAATAAGTACATATGAATTTATATAACTTTAAACTTATTAGGTAGAACAGTTATTAGTTATGAACTAATTTTAATAACTTGTTAAAACATGACTTGGTATTGTATCATCTACTTTGATTTGTATATTTTTTGTCATGCAAAGAAGATCTTTGAATCAAGAGCGAATCAAGAAAAAATTTTCTTGTCGAGATACTTCAGAATAAAATACTTTAGATACTAACTAAAATCAAATTTGACACCAACTGAAATAACTAGTTCTCGTGTAACTAAATAGCTGTATATTTTACTTGTTAAACTAATAACGAATTTAAATTCAGATGGAAGTGTAGTTGATAAGTGTCCTAGAGGTGTTTAATCCAACTTAAATGTTTACATCGAAGTTGCCTTTAGTAAGTTAAATAACGATAAACGTATTAAGTGAACTGTCAAAGTTCTTCGGAAATAGCTTAATTTAAAGCAAAGTTTTTGTTGTTTCTTTCGGAAATAGTCAAACTTAAAGCAAAGTTTTTTGTTGTTTCACAGCCTATACATTAAATAGTTTGTTTACTTTACAATTTTACTTAATATTCTTGTATGTTTTTTGACAACCTGTTATTTTTTTCTACAGTGTTTTTTTTTTAGTCCGCTGCTATGGTTAACTTTGATATTGTGAGAAGAAAGCTAAAATTTTAATTTTTTTGTTTTATTACTGGAAACGTATTTTATAAATAGTCTTATTTTCATGTAAAATTAAAGTACCACATTTGTGTTTAATTGATTTAGAATACCGACTAATTTAACTATCGTATTAGAGTTACCGATTTGGTTGGCACTGCTGCTGCCGTAGACGATACAAGTTGCTTAACACTGACTCCAATTGTAATACGGTTTTACCGTACCCAAAATAATGGTTAAGAGTCTCATGAATCTCGTATCAATAGTGGTAACCATAGTTCATAACAAGTATTATCAGTTTAAGTTATAGTTCAAGCAAGGAACTCCTTGGACAAAAGTATAAGACTATTTTAATGAATTTCATCCAATGAAAAGTTCCTTAGATACTACTTAAAGATGGTTATACAACAAAAATAAATAAAACTTATTATAATATGTTATATCACCATTACCTACTGAAATCTGAACTAATTCATTTGATAGCATTTGAATTGAAATTATATACTACAATTGAAATTATAGAAAAAAGTCCTAAATAGTTAAGAGATACTGTACTAAAATTTGAAAACAAGTACTTACGAAAAAACCCTGGCCAGAAATTATGCTTCTTTTTAAAAGCTTTTGAAGACCTAAACGTAGCAAAAACACCATCATTTTATCACTGTAGGATTCAAAACCACGACATATATTTGTACATTTATAATGAATGCAATGTAAGCTTAAGCCTAATTATGTAATCATACACATACCCTATGGTAATCATTGTTTTGCTCTAGTTGGAGGGCTACAGGTCATATGCCGGAGTGCAGTATTCTCCCTTGGACATGGCCGAGTATGTGTTTTGGACTGGGGATGAGAAAGGAGTGACTATGGCCATTGAAGAATTCCTTCAAGATGGATTGGTACGTCATATTTTCCTTACTATATTTCTTGGTTTTAAATGTTGTGTTTGTTCCTCAACAAATTGTAGGTGTGCAACAATAGATGTTGTAAATAAAAAAGAACTTCTGTCCTCCCTAGGACAGACAAGTCATTGTTGCTAGGGAATTAACCCATATCCTCATCGGCTGAGTAGGCCTACCTAACACCAATTCCTTTGAGTGGCGTAAAAAAAGTAGATTGTTGTATTTTATTTCAAGTATATTTGGTCCTATGAAATAAATAATTGTGTCTTGTGCAAAAGGAAAACTCTCTTCGAATGGAAGGGGGGGATCCCTTAAGTATAACTATCAACTAATACTGACATAGTACAAGTTTATATACAATGCGATACGAGTTAAAATACGATTTTGAGTTCACGTCTGGGGTTTAACAAAGATTTTCAGTGTATTATTTTAACTAATTATGATAACTACAGTATCATCATAATACGTTGTTTTCCACCGAATCAGCTAAAAGAAGAGAAAAGCAACAAACTGAAAGACATAAGCAATATATTTACAGTTTACTGTAGATCTATTCTTGTACACAAATGAACAACAAGTGTCGGCTAGAATGACAATAAGCTGCTCTTCAACAAAACAGTTAGAATGTGTACATGAATAATCGTAACTTGAATACGAATAGAGTTAAGTTTAAGTAATTTCAATACTGTGTAGGATTGTTTTCAGTCAATATAAAATAATAATATTCAAGAATCAAGAATTTATTCACCATTAAATATTCAATGTACAATAGGTGTCGTCAAAGTATTAACACGAATCAATGGATAATGTCTTGAGTTTCACAGCTCAGGTACTCTTCAGTGGTATAAAATGCTTTAACTTTAAGCCACTTTCTAATAACATTGGTAAATTCCTTAGGTGTCAACATTTTAACATTTGCTGGTAGTTTATTATAAATTAAAATTTGATGGTAACTATGGCTCTTATAATACTTATCAAGTCTAATACTAGGTCTAACAATATCATCATTTTTTCTGGTGTTGTGAGAATGAATAGGAGTTTTTTTTTATATGGGTGTTGTTTTTAACAATCAAAAGATTATAGTAAACAAATAGACAAGGACAGAGCCTTGTGGTACTCCTACTTTAACATCTAGGTATTCGTAATTCATATTATTAAAGCTAGCCATCTGTTTTTTGCTTTGGAGATATGTTTGAATTAACCTCAATTCCTTATCTACTACTCCATATGATTTTAGCTTGTCTTAAAAGATTTTGTGTGATACAGAGTTAAAAGCTTTACTTAAATCAATTAACAAAGACCCTACAGTGAGTTTTTGTTCAAAGCCATTTAAAACATATTCAACTACTTTTTCAACAGCATCTATTGTCGAGTGTTTAGGCCTAAAGCCAAACACATATTTACATATTTAAATAAAAAAGAAAATATTATGCTTACACATTTGTAGTTTTATTTATTTAGTTTCAAGTATTACCAAAGACTTCCTCTAAGGGGGGGGGGGGTTTATTTAAGGTAAAATCGGGTTTTAATCCTAAAAATCTTTTACCGGATCTGTAGAGTTAAGTGCAATAAAACATTATCAAGTATTGCAAAAAAATAAGTAGACCTTTAGGTAATGCAATAGGTTTATACACATCCCTCCAATAGAATAGAAACAATTTGTAATCGTTAACTCGAACACCATAATTGTAAGGAATCTAAGCGACAAACCTTCAAAAACTAAACCTTCATTGTACAGGCCTGCGACATAATAACTATAAACTTTAGCAGTAAACAAATTTCCATAGATTTTTTTAACACTTTTTTACAAGAAGACACTACCTTAACTGTACAGATTATTAGGGACCTTTGCTTATTGAGGAATAACAGAGTAAAATCATGAACTCACTTTAGACAACCAACATTTTTTATGAGGAAAATACGCAACCGGAAAAAGTAGTTATATTGTTTATTTGATGTAGAGTATGAATATACTCGGGTGTGTAACTTCTCTCAGCTTTATCTTAACCTGTAGTTGCCCCGATGTGTAACGGTTTTATTTTATCGTTACAAACAATGATGCAATTCCCATGGCTAAAATATGACAGAAATCGTGTGAACTACTGGTATATGCAAGCTTATACCAACAACACAAAAGAGTAATAAGTAGGCTCTACTCTAAAAATACAATTATCATGCATGTTATTTTACTTAGTTAAATTTTATTTGAATCGATTCGTCGTTTGGATGAATCACTAAACGAAGAGTTGCCCTAAGTAATATTTATTAGTTAAAACCCATTGATTTATATTATTAATGCATGCTGCAATTGCAATTTGCTAGTAGTAAGCATAGTAGCTTACATTGTTCAAACGTCGCTAAAGGGAATAGACAAATAAGAGGTTCCCCATGTGTAAGGCAGGATTTCCCATTCGTGAGTGTAAACAATTGCTTTTGAGTGTCGTCTTTAATAAACCTCTGTTGTGTTTACCTCTCTTTCTCAACATTTCTTAATGTTGTGTTTTTCAAACGCCGAAGTTAAACATACACTTTTTTGTCAAACATAAAGTATGCGAAACAATACAACTTCATTAATTACTTACAATTGTATGTTACATAAGTTTTATGATAGTACATATTTACAATATCAGAGTTTTTGGGTATAGACTTAAAAGAAAAGATACTTTAATTGCACAAAAAGAAGGAATTCGTATGCCTACAATGTTTCTAAAATAGATATCCCCCATCTTAAGCTGAGGGGGTCAAACGAAAGTCATAACTGGTCAAGCGAAATATGTTTACCCAATTTTTAATTTAAATTACACGCTAGTCACGCCGTAATTCAATAATGTTGAGTTCTGCACTCATTTCGGTTTTAGTTTAAAGCTGGGATTTACTAGGTGCGGAAACGAAGCGCGGAGAGAGGTACGCGGAGAGCAGACTGCTCTTGTCTTAGGTAATTTAATGTTACTGTTTTCCTAGAAGCGGAGCGAAATGCCATGTTAATCACTTTTCCGCCCTCCGCTCTCCACCCTCCACGCTCCTCTTCCGCGTTTAGGAAAACCCGACTTTAATGTGTTGTTATGTGTTTACACAAAGCTTACGACAATTTGTGTTGTTCTGAACGAGCTTCCACTCACACTCTAAGATGGTATGAATGGGGTAGTGATTTGTGAATCAGAAAGACAATCAGTACGCAGTCAATATAGTCAGTGGGGTATAAATTCGAGGCATTAAAGTGACTAAACCAACCTTGAGCATTTTAGAATTTGCAATTATATTCAATCCAACCAATCATTGTGTAATGTTACTTTTGTTGGACTATGGGGTCAGACAATGGTCAAATAAATTGTTATTTACAATTTGGAAATTTTGCAGTGATTAATCCACTACTTTATAAACGTAACATGACAAATTCCTCTAAACTACCCTAAAACATGACAACTTCTTAGCCCTTGTGTACCTCTAAAGACTCTAGGTAAAAAATCATGAGACTTTATTTTAATTTTGCGAGTGTGCTCAGTATTTTCTTAACTTTAATAGTCAATTGGTGTAACAGAAACACATATGGGAATGTTGTAGATATCAATGTTGGTCAATACTTATCAATATTGTGTACATACTGAAAATATTTTGCTAAAATATGTAACATTGTTAATTATATAAAATAAATGCTAAAAATAAAGTACGTTTAAAATTTTCATTGGAACAATTAGATGAATTAGTGTAACTTATAATGTTGTTGCAGATGACACGAGAAGAAGCAATTGCATTTCTACAAGAAATCAAGATCAATCTAGACTATTTGCAGAACCACTACACCGAGGAACGTCTCCAGAAGCAAGAGATGGCTAAGGTAGGCAGGTTAAACACATGTACAGTATATCCCGACTCCATTCATTTTTCATATACTGTATCGTTTTGTATATATTTATATCGTAAACTAGTATTTTCTTATTTATCTTTTTCTTGTATACAAAATTCTGTGTACAATATATCTTATTTTCCTTTTTAAATGTAGCCTAAATTTATTGTTTTATTGTGCGGATGATGGACTCAATCCCCAACCACAGGCATATAGCCCATGTGGGTATTATATTTCATAAATCGTTTTTTGTCCAATTGAACTGATGTACTGCATTGAAAAATAATAAAGAATTCATTAATTCATTCCTGAGATCCAAGGCTGAAATGGCATTTTAGTGTTAAAATACTGAACAAACCCACCAATAAGGTAAATCCGTTCAAAATATTTACTAACGGGAAAAGAAGTTTTGTACATAATTATTGCAAATATGTGTCAATGATGTACTTTAAAAAGGACTTATTCTCTTTAAAGCATATGGCTTGGAAATAGTATTCACGCTAAAAACAAACATAAGTCAAAAGTATGATTAAAATGATTCCGTGGCCAAATAACAGAGTGTATGTGTTGAACAAATATTTGCTCAAGTGCGTATATGTAACCACTGGCAATTACTGTAAAATATTCAAACTACTTAAATAAGTACACTATTATTCAAATAAGTCAAATACAAGAAAGAAAACTTTTTAGAAATTCATAAATTCCGAGATAATGACAGAAGAAGTCCGACTTCTCGTGATAGCAAGAAACAAACAATTCCCGACTTTCAATGGACGAGGAAAGAAACTTTTAATAAGAATGTTAATTATTAAATACTACTTTCATACAGATATTTCGGACGGAAAGCTTTGATAACTTTGTATTAGGTCTTAGCTAAGTTTGTGGGTGGTCTTAAGATATCAAACTAAAAAAATTGGTTTCACAAACGTTTTTTACGACTCGCTTTTTAAGCAGTGCTATCTTATAAACATTATTTAAACTAGAACTGATGGTGTGGTGATAAAAAAAAATTTAAATAATGAATTTAACAAAATTTTTACTAGGAATACCGACGAATATAAAACAAAATATGCGTATGCAAATAAACCCTTGTTTTAAGCGGGTTTCACGGTTAAATATAAGGTTGTTCAATAAGAACGGGGCAAAACTAAACGGTTGGAACGTCTGTTTCCGTGATTTCAAACAGCTGATTGATACAACAATGGCGTGTTTATAGGTTTGTTTTGAAAACGTCGTGTTTTGTTTTACCTTATTACCTTATTACCGTATCTTCATCTTTTACCCAAAAGGGATTGATGGCGTCAATACTTTCAAAAATCAAAAATATACATTTAGACAAACTGACATATATACAAAACATATATTTACAACATTGGCAATGTGGATAGGCGGATCAGTCAGAAAATTCTGGGAAAATGTCTTCAAAAAATTCTTTTAGGGAATAGTAGGCTCTTGACTTGAGTAGAGGGACCAGCTTCTTTAAGAAAAGCTTACGCTCAAGCTGTTTGATAGAGTTGGGGAGCTTGTTATAGATTTGGATTGCTTTGTTTTAGATGCTTAATACAACGAAGACTGTCAATAAATAACTACTACAAAACAAGGAAAAGCATTTGATGTTTTAGAGTTTGCTCGTACTAATGCTATTGTTAGTGTTCAGTTCAGAGGAACTTCCCGGCCAAATGTAGGCAGGAGGCTCCTTATCGGAACTGAATAGTTGGACAAAGCAATTCAAAACAAATGGATGTTAGTGTGGCAGGAAGAGTTCGGGCTGTGTTTAGACTCTGCCAGACGCTACGGTGGGAATCGAAGCTAAGTTTGCGTGGAGCCCAAGAACCTCAACAGTCAAAGCTTGTAGGGAACCTCACCTACCACAGTACACGGTTTTAGACAATCGTTTGAAACGAAACCTATACAAACGACAGTTATTACAAGTATTTAAGCATTCTGGCAAGCCAAAACACACGGATGTTTGTCATGATAGCTTGGATTCTGGTTGATATTCTTCGACTTTGTTGGCAGGCTTCGTGGTACTCAACTGAGACAAAAAATTACCTTACAAACACACACTTTCCATTGGTTTAACAATCAGCAGTTTGAAATCACGGAAACAGACGTACCAACCGTTTAGTGATGCACCATTCTTATTGAATAACCCTGTATAACTAGGAAACACAAAGGGAATCAAATGTGCATATCAAAGGCTATCGCATTGATATGCTTTAATATGCACATTTTGATTCTCGCACTATATCTGCATTATATCCGATTATTATGCATTAAATCTAAAGCAGAAAGTAATTTGAAATGTATTTTTCCTACAGTTACCTAACAATGTACATGTTCACTCACTGATTTGAGAAAGCAAAGTGGCCAATCTGCTCATCAGTGAGACAATGTTAACATTGTCTCACTCTAATTACTTTGTCTCACTCCAGATTTGCAACGTGAAGGCACGAAATAGAGAGCGCGTAACATGCAGACAAGGTCGTATGCGCGCGAAATACGTTGGCAGCACTGGCTGTAAATCAGCTGGTCAGCTGTTGTACTGTTGTTGATCGTGTTGATCATTAAATTTCATATTAAAAGTTCACTTCTGTGTAAAAAATATGTCACGTTTCTTTACTAATTTATTTGTTTTATTGTAACTGTAGGAAAAATATAATGTGCAGCTCGAGTGCAAAGTGCAATTGCCTCACTCGAGAAACCATTCCTCACTCGCCTATGGCTCGTGAGTAAGGATTTCTCTCGAGTGAGTCAATTGCTCACTTTGCTCACTAGTTGCACAAATAACTATTGTGTTCTATAAATACTATTTTATCAATTCCATTAAGTTCAATGGAATTAATAAAACCCTAGCTTTGATGAAAGTAGAAGTTTGAATATACAGGGTTAGTAAAAAGTGTGGAGACCCCCTGTTATTTTTTTAACGGCCCATACTAGAAAAACTAAACTCGGCACACCTTTATGACATGTTATGAAGTACTTTTTGGGCATAACCGTCACTTGGTGTACATCCCCAAAATGGGGGATTTTGGGGGAAACTCAAAAATTTTTCAAAAACAAATACCCATCGAGTGACCCCTCATTTTGAAGGTCCTGGTAAAAGAAAACCAACAACGCAAACTAGAGGTCTTTATCTCAATCCAGTAAAAAATGGCAGCCAATTGAAATTCTCAGAAGTTCAATTTAACTTACAGCTTTCCAAGTCTGGAGACCTGCTGTAAATTTTGTAGTGGCTCACACTAGGAAAACTAAACTCTACACACATTTTTGGCATGTTATGAAGTACTTTTTAAGCCTAATAGCCACTTGCTTACCAAACCCAAAATGGGGGATTTTGGGAGAAACTCAAAAGTTTTAAATGATAAGCCCCATCAAGTGACCCCTCATTTTGAAGGTCCTGGTAAACGAAAACTAACAATGCAAACTAGAGGTTTCTTTCTCAATTCAGTAAAAAATGGAAGCTGATTGAAATCTTTAGAAATTGGAAATAACTTGCAATTTTATATTCAATTAGCTGCCATATTTTACTGTGTTAAGATAGAGACCTATAGTTTGCGTTGTTACTTTTCTTTTATTATGACCTTCAAAATGAGGGGTCACTCGATGGGGCTTATCATTTAAAATTTTTGAGTTTCCCCCAAAATCCCCCATTTTGGGTTTGGGAACTTATGAGAATTTCAATTGGCTGCCATTTTTTACTGAACTGAGAAAGAGACCTCTAGTTTGCGTTGTTGGTTTTCTTTTACCAGGACCTTCAAAATGAGGGGTCACTCGATGGGTCTTTGTATTTGAAATTTTTGAGTTTCCCCCAAAATCCCCCATTTTGGGGATGTACACCAAGTGACGGTTATGCCCAAAAAGTACTTCATAATATGTCATAAAGGTGTGCCGAGTTTAGTTTTTCTAGTATGGGCCGTTAAAAAAATAACAGGGGGTCTCCACACTTTTTACTAACCCTGTATTTTAAATACCTATATTCAACAAACAAAAACATTAATGAAACCAACAATGTACATGAATCAAAACCGTAAAAACGTGTTTACTTATTGAGATTTTAGATCATTGTTAACAACACATTTAGTTAGTAAAACACGCACGTCTATTATTCGTTGTTGATACTATTCGTTTTATATTCTTAAAACTGTTTATGACTTTAAACTATTCATTTGTTTACGTCTGTTTGGATACAGATAGAAGCTTTAAGAAAATATGTATGAGTTATCAACGTAAACTCGAACTTCTATTAAAATATTGATTTATATTTATAACTAACTTCAGTTCTAATTTGGACAGGAAAGAGCAAAGGAGTTGCAGAAAGCTTTCAATCTTGAAAAGATGACTGAAGCAAAGCTCTCATCTCCCTCTGAATTGTCTGAAGTGCGTCACCAAATGAGGGAGAACCTGAGCAAGAAGAATGCCGAAATGGAAGACCCCTTCAATCCTTCAAGTAAGTGAAGCTGGCTTTTTACGATATGGAAGAATATGTTTAGAACTGTATCCTATTACATGGCTTTCTGTAAATTAATATGATGCATTTGAAAAATTCAAATTTGCTAATCACAGACACAATGTTTGGTAATTATAAATGGGGAGAAAATAACAATATTTTACTTCATTCGTGCATGGGTTTTAGGATGTTGAATAAAAAATATTTGGAAGCCTCTCACAACGACGATGAATGTAAAAGGTTAAAAATAAAATGAGTTATTTTAAAACAGTCAATACATACCACTAAGGACAATCAGGTAAATCTACAAAAAAAATTATTATGTTCAGAAACTTCGAAACTGTTTACATACCTCGGGCTACGGTTAAGGCGTAGTAACAACTTTTTCGCTACACTACTGTGAAATGGCCTGTTTTCGTTGCATTTTTATCACCTGCGAAAATATATCATTACATTGTTTACTACGGAAAAAGAATGTTTACTATGCGAAAGTAATGTTTACCATCTTTTTTGGATTTTGTCGACGTAAACAAACAAATATTTGTTATTGTTTTACCGACTGTTTCAATATTCAACAACTATACTAAAACATTAACTGTAAATTGAAGATATGACCTCAAAAATCAATGAGTTTTGTAATGCAGAAAATAATTATTCTTTGTAGTGTAGCGAAAATTAACGTTCAAAACACGAGTGAAAGTGGGTCTATGTAAAGACTCACTTTCTACTCTTGTTATGAAATATACTACAGTATAGTGTTTAGCGTAGGTGTATAACACAATAAGCTTAAATATTTTTGAATTTTTAACAATTATTTCACAACACTAAAATGCTAAAAAACTTAATATACTGAGAATTTCTTTTAAACGTTACCCAAATTCCAAGTACTGTACTGTATACTGTTTAACGACAAACAAGCTTTTTTACTGGTATCTCTATTTTCTTTACTTCATTTCTAATCAGCTGATATGCATTGTTGTATAGTTATCTGTGAGGTTTAGTACTATTGGGAATTAATTGAAAATAAGAATCAACATCGTGTTTTCCTAAGCTCAAAGATTTAGAAAAGTATGTTAAAGGTAAACTATCGATTTTATGCCAAGAAAGACTTAAAATTAAGTCTTCATGTATGATTCCAGTACCTAATAAATCAACTATTATCGACATTTTCAAATTTAAGTGAACCGGATTCGTAGTAAACAAAAAACCGTTCATACAACACATACTCTATTTGAGCTTTTGAAAACATCATTTTGAGTCTTATTTACAACAAATCCCCGATAACATTTAACCTCCTAGATAACTATGCAACAATGCATATTATTACCCTGTACAATGCACTCATCCATAATAGATTTAACACTAATTTAATTAATTTCCATAGACCTAAAACCTCCTTGTAAATGATAATTACAATCTGCAGTGAATCGGGTGGCCTCCAGCCTGACAGACGACGACTACCAGGAGCTTCTGGAGCGACTGAGGGTTGCAGACTTCCTTTATACCGAGTACTCCCTAGAAGAGGTTATTTACCAGCTGGCTAAGCTCATGTTCTCTCAGTCACTAACTAGAGGTATGCCAAGTATCACGTCATGGATGTGGATGTTGGGTTAAGAAATTAAAATCAAAACTATCAGTAGATATCCTAGTGCTTTTAGTTTTTATTTGTTTTTTTTTCTTGGAAGGATTGATTAACAGGCGCATGTTGTTACATTCGTTGTTTTATACTGTTATTTAAAGAAACAAAACATGTATGAGCTAAACGCAGATACAAACAACAGCTGTTTGTCACAGAGGCAGCAAAATTATGTTGAAAGTATTTCTCTGGCATTATAAAATACAGATTTTAATACAAATTAAAAAGTAATTTTTGCGAGGTCCTTAGAACTCCTCAATAAGGAAGATACGGTTTTACGTATATACCTGAATCATAAACTAATTTATAGTACCTTTATCAAGATGAAACCCAAACCATTAAAAAAAGGAGTTTAAGTATAGTATGTGTTGTGTAACTCTACTATGAGTAAAACTACCTTTAAACCTGCAGAATTATCTAATTTATAGTTCGTTTATTGAGGTGTTATTTAAAGGAGTTTGATACCTAGATCCGCATCCTATTTAACTAATATTGGTTCAATAAGATATTGTGTTTCCTGCAAAAATTATACAATAGTTTTGCTCTTATAATACAATTTCAAAAACTACCCCACTCTAAGAAAGAAATGTTCTAACTTCATGAAGATAAAGTAATTAATTAACGACCACTTTGTAAAAAATATTGTATATCGTATTGTATATTGTATGTATATAAAAAATATATATTTTTGTCCACACATTTTCATTAAACTTAAATTAGCACGAATAAATTATATAAAAACAAAGCCCGTCAAAACGGGAGCATTTTAGTGAACAAAACTTAATTTCCGTGGTCTGTGAGACGGAGTCTCTCGGTTTCGTTTAATCCCAGAAACACCACTCTTAATGGATTTGTAAACACCAAACCAACTTGTTGGAACGAGTAGATTACCGCAGTTAAATAAAAAATTCAATTCTATTTAAAAGCAGTTTTGTCTCACTACCGTAAGACACTTTTAGCGACAAAACCAACTCAATGTTGGTCGACATTTATGAGGTTTAGTGGTATTGATAATAATTTATTGTAAATAACACTCATCATCTTTTTTCTAGCTCAAAAAGAGTATGTACTTTGTAGGTCAATGTTTTTTATTCTATCTACAGATCAGGTGTACTTAAACGTTGATAATTCCATGAACAGTAACTTTTTAGGTACTGAGATCACACCTAGAAACTAATTTCAAACCTTTTTTGGTATACAACCAACGATTTACTTTTGAAGTACTGTACAATACTACTCTGAGTTTGAAAAAACACCATGCTGAGTGAGACCTATTCACAATATATTCCCAATAACACTAAATCTAGTAGATAACTATGCAACAATGCTTATCAGCTGATTGTCAAAAAAGCGACGTAACCAGGAATACCAACACGTGAGCTTGTTTTTTTATATATAAAAAGTAGCCTACTTTTAATTTTGGTAGTAAAAAAACCCTGTATATTGAAGCATTATTCTACAAATAATGACTACGGAGGATAAAAAATTAACAATTAAAATGTCTACGTTATTACATTATTATCTATGTCACAAAACCAATTAGTACAATATGTGGGTTTCAGGGAGCTCTGAAGCGCAGGAAGCCCTTCAAAAGTTTACAGGTTTCTTAGAGGCTGAAGCCGAGAATGGAAGAATATCTCGCAGCCTGGAAAAGAAAGTATTAGGTGAGTTTTGTCTGGCTCTGTTCCGACTCTTTTAATCCAGCTGTATATGTACAAATTCGTCCCGAGCATTCAATAAAGCCATAAAACTTGTCCAGTTACAAAATAAAATATGACCACCAATCACACTTATATTTAATTAATGCAAATACATATACAAACGTACATTTCTTTGACAAAGGAAAAGTTTGTTTAAATTGTTTGCTTACTAATAATTTGCTGTTATTTTTTTATAATATATTGTTATGTTTTTATCATATATTTATTTCATATTGTGTTTGTATCTACAAAAAGGTAAAGTTAATGCAATTGTGTTGATTAAGACTTGAAACAAATATTTATGCTTATTTACGGTTTCATATACAAATCATAAGCTCCTATGAATTCAAATGATTAATTTAATAAAATCATGCAATGCCGGTTAGTAAGAACCGTCTTGTAATCTTTAAATGTAATAACAGTGCATTCTATGTTATTTTATTTACCTCTTGAGCATTTCTCGTAGAGTACTACAAAATGAACTTTTCTCGACGGAAAGTTTGATTCTTTCTCACCTGAGTACGGGATCAGGTTCCGAAATAAAACAAAATTTAGTACAAATAGAGGTAGGCAAACACATGATGCGTCCACACAAGATCGTGGCTCAAGCAAGACTACGGTCAAGCGTTCTTCCAGTCACTAGCCGAAGAAATGGCGATGGGAAACGATAACTTTGTATACCGGAATCCCCGAAACTAACAAATGGTGAAGTGATGTACCCAGCTGAAAAGTCAATTTTTATGACATAATCACAAACGTTGACTAAAACCTTGATTGCCAAATGTTGTTATTTTATGTAAGAACAATTCATTGATTACAACTTACTGTCATTAAAATGAACTTTTAACAATAGAGTGTATATAGAGTGTTATTATCCGAAGTAGTGGTAAGGTATATTGCCCAATCTATTTGCAGACGTGCTGATCGCTTCTCTGACGGATACACTGTCCGAACACCCCGAGTTGGTAGGGGCGGCTCGTGCTGGATTAGGAGGCGGAGACCTTGGCCAAGCGATCGAGAACCAGCAGAAATCTGGTAAGATCATGAGTCCAGAGGATAGAGCAGTATTGCATAGAGAGGCGAGAAATGTACACCCCAATCAAGGTTAGTTACTTAGTCCGTCTGCTGTGACGAAATGATAATAAGCATGTGCAACAGTAAAATCGCTTTGTACTAACTTTTAAAGCTTCTTTAAAAGCATGCTACATTATTATTGCTTTCAAGGGGTGGATGATCTGGTAGTAAAAATGCTATCCAAATATAAAACAATCGGGTTTGAATTTCACCATGACTTTCACCTATAAATGGACATGTAAAGAAATAAAATGACATTGTAAGTGAGGATACTTTTCTAAGTATGGGATTGTAACACTCTCCACTAAAAATCATATCAAACGTTTTTTGAATTACTTAAAAGGGCAAGTTAATTTTTGTCGCTTCAAATTAATAACCAAAAATCAACTTATTCAAGAGTTAAATTTTTTATAACTGATTCTATGCTGATGGTTGCGAGAAATTGGTTCATTTTAAACTTTACTAATCTTTTACGAGAAGTTTCTGGCTCGTTGAAAATCTATCCTAGTTGCTGCCATATAATCGAATGAAAAATAAAATAACACGTTCAAACGCGCTTAAGTTTACTTAAACGCTTGGACTTTCTTTTATTGTTTTCTGGGATTGCAACATTGTAGAAAATCCGCTCTTGGTTGTTTGTAGTCCCGCTATGAATAAGAAAACCGTAAAGGGTAGGCCTCAATAGAAGAATAAATATTTCCCCATAAAGTTACCTAATGGCTAAAAGCAAGTAGCTTTGTTAATATAGTCACTATTTGATGTTAATCCATGCACTAATACTAGGATTGTTCTACTTGGCAGGGTTCGAGGCAGGAAAGGGAGATTTGGCCAGGTCCAGTCACAGGTTCCAGGGAGCCAAGGCGACACCAGTGGTCAGTGACGTCGGTCCTGTCATGAAGAAGAATGTAGCTCCTGCCCACAAACGCCCCGTCAAGAACCCTTAAACTGTCCCCTCCCTAGACTAGCAGTTTTGTACCATCATCCAAAGTAGTCATAGAGCATCGCTTCAAAAGAGCACAGCATATCAAAATATTTATAATTTTGATCTCATTTTACCCTCCGAATTAGACAAGAATTTATTTTATCTTACGGGTCCAAATTCGAAGTAGAATTTTCGTCCCATATTAACCCGCATTCCTGACCTCGGTAGAATAGAACTGACATTCCCGTAGGATACAAAATATTAAATGTTTAGCAAATAGGTACGAGTATTTTTGTCCTTCTTGTATCATAAAAACGGGGTGTATATAAGCAGGAGAGTGATCACTATATCTCGGATGTAGTTCTATATATTTTTGTACAGATTATATCAATATGGGTTCCATTAAGAAAGGGTTATTTATTAAACCACGTATATTTATTTGAGCTTCAAACACATCTACTTTCTTAAAACAATACTAACGAAAAGTATACTGCAGCAGTGTATACTGCGTTTTCCACATTAACTCATTTATGATTATATCCATGAATTAATAAAGTGAAAGAGCTTTTGCAAAGACGTATAAACTGAGAGGAAACAGTTCTTGATTACAGTGAAAAGTACAATCTAAGTTACTAGGCAGATATATACGTTAAGTTATTATTATTTTTGGTTTAAAACTGTTGATAAATTTGCTAAACTGTAGCAAACAGGTTTTATATTTAAGTTTTAAGTGACAGTTAACAAGTCTACTAAAAGCTAGCGCGTTTCTATATAAATTATTGTATTTAATAATTAAGATAAGGGAAGAGACTACATGAACTATACTATTACCTTTATTTAACTATGTTCAAAATAATTTAATATCAGAGTTTAACTATATAAAGAATTATGTTACCACACAACAGTTATCGAAATCATATTAAAGGTCCAAATGGTACATATCTCATGTAGAACTATAAAAAAAGAATTCTGTTATTTTAATAACTTTTTATGTATTATTTATTTTATCAATGAACGCAACGAATTGCGGCTTTAGTTTTACGGAAACAAATATTTTATATAACTATTTTACATATTTGAAGACTACTAATATAAATCGGAACAATAAAAGATGGCTTATGCTGGAGGTTTACTTAACTTTGGAACTAGGTTACTGTAAAATATTCCTCTTATGTTATATTGACGTTAGAGTTTAGTGGAGAAATTGAAAAACTGATTCTTTCATCACAGATCAAACTGTTTAACATCTTATAATTGCAAATAATACTTAAAGAGAGTTTGAGGCTACAATAGTTTCACAATTTCTCCAATTGACTCTTTTCCTTGACTTAATCATTTTGTGATCAAAATAGATAGAAAGTAGAATCATTCAAAACTCATTATTGTCGATATTTGTCGCCTGTTTTCCATATGTACCTGCTCATTGTCTACTATTATTACTATATTGGTAAATTAAATAAACTATATTGGTATGTGTTCGTTATTGCATCCAACCTAATCTGTCTCATTATGCCGAAATCTCCTTTAATTTAGTTTTATTTAGTAATAATGACCAATGTCGATAAATAACTCCTATTATCTTCTCAAATGAGAAACACAAAGGTATTTGAAGTACGAAATTACCTGAGAGCATTGCGAGACACACCACTATAGTGTAATGTAAAATGAATTTTTTTTTCGAAATGAACTACAAATGGCTTCATTAAATGAGTGGAATGAATGAACATTTACTTCAAAATCTAAATCACATGCAGACCTTTAAACATATTAACTGTGAAACATATATATTTGTTTAGAATAAATCTTGTTAATTGTATAGTGGATGGAAAAATTATGGAAATAACTTCTTTGGTTTCTTATACAAGGGTTGCTTAGAGTTGAGATTTAGTGTGCTTGCTTTATTAATCTCCAGATAAATTATTCGTGATTACTGGAACTATACTGTTTCCTGTACTGGAAAGCCCTGCCTAATAAATGTGAATGACATTATTATATTGTTTTATTATTATGTCAGCCGTCACTGAAAAATGCTAATGAAGCTAAGCAAAAGTGATGTAAAGCTAATAATATGGGTTGCAAGATGCAATGCTCTCTGTCAAAAATATTTATCTTATTTTTTAAGAATAAAATTATAGTATGTATACATTTTTTATACTTTTCAGATACTGGGCCTGCAAATATTATGTATTTATTATTTTTTTTTACTCCGGGTAAAACTAATATTTTTTTATCCTAGGCAATAAACTATAATTCCATTTAATTGTAGTTTTGAATATTATTACTGGAAATTTGTCGATGTCTTTTGGTGTAATTTATATTGTAACATAACCGATTTTCATAGATAAGAGTACTGTAATTTGCTAAAATACAAAGCACTGACCAGAGCTGAATTAGATTAGAGATATAATTACCTCGATCTACAAACAATAAATAACGGACAGATATATCTAAACGTAGAATCATATACTTTTTGCATAAAACTTTTAACTGTATGTTTACTGAATTGATTATTTAAAAAAATTATTATTTTGGGTTTTCGGGTGAAATTAGGATACCAACAAACAAGTGAACTTTTATGCTATATAGAGGTGTGCAGAGTTTGGTTTTCATGATACAACACATTAAGAAGTTAAAAGAAGGGTTCCATACTTTTGCCCAACCCTGTATAGTGTACAAAACTACAGGGGTAGTCAAAAGCATGGTGCAAAACTAAATGGTTGGTTCGTCCGTTTTCGTGATTTCAAACAGCTGGTTGTTACACGAAAAGAAAAAGGTTGTGTTCATAAGTTTACCTAACCCGCCATGTTAAGCTTCCCTATCCCAAGCGTGATGTATACAACTTCTTTACTTCACGAGTGATGTAAAGTTTCAAAAACTCACTCGGTGAAGAAATGAAACCCATTGAAATAGCATTGAGTGATCTAGTGCTCTCTACTATTCTCATATGCTCTCTACTCTACTGCTCAACACAACATTCACCTGCGTGATGTAAAAACGCTCTTACTACACTTGTAAGGTAAATAGCTATTGTTTTGACAATGTTATGTTTTGTATCAGTTGCTTAGTTGATTACCACGATGCCTGCCAACAAAAGTCCACTTCAAAACAAGAAAAAGTATTAATTTCATGTTATTTAGAATTTGCTCTTACTAAATAGGTAGGACTACTATTGATAATGTTCAGCTTAATTTTGGACAAAAAGTTTGGAAGGTGGCTCCTCGAAAATGTAATAGCTTGTTGGATGAGGCAACTCGACAACTGGATGCTTGTGTGCCGGGAAGAGTTCGGGCCGTCCTCCCGCCAGACGCTGTAAATAGTATATACAACGAAGCTAGATTAAGCACCTCGACATGACAATACCCAACACAACATACCCCACACATGACAATACCTGATCACGCATTACGACATGCAAAGTATGAATTATGAGTTCGGAACCAAGCGAGGCGTCCCTGGACCGAAATGTTATTTCACAATAAACTATCAGTTAATGAAGCTAAATAAAATAAGTTCGCTGATAAATCAGGGTAGAAAAGACCAGAGTTTGGGCTGTTCCCTTAACTTAAACTAATACTTATAGCTTAGGAACACAAATAATAATAACATTAAATAATCACAGTTATTTATTGTAATTAAAAATAAATTTTAAATAAACATCATCAATAAACATAATGATAAATTAATAGATAACAAATTACAAATAGATACTAAATAAAAATCCATGGAATACTAAATATTCTGTAACGTTAATATCTCGCCTGTGTGTGTTTTGCTAAGACAAAACTCAGGTTTAATTTCTAATTAGCAATCATCTGGTGTGACAGAGCAATAAATATTACAGGGTGTGAGGTAATGAGTGAGTTGCCTTAGGGGGGGGGGGGGTTGTGGGGACATCTAGATAGGGATAAACTGTGTCTTTACATTAATACGCATAAGAATAAAAGATTATATGTTTTAGAAACGAAATATACCAGTTTAACAAATGAAATATCTGCCGAAAATACTCTCTACAATACTAGTTGTCTGTTTTAGGGAATAGCTGGCTTAGAAGTAATCGCTATTCATAATTTATCTTAGCGTAAAATGAAATATGAAAACGGAAAATAAGTAAGTGGCTCCAGATGAGAAATAAAAGTTACTAAAGAATAATGATAACAGCTAATCATTTATAAAGGTAAAAAATTACAATATTTTATATTACGAAACATGAAACTGTCAGCAATGTTTATCAAAATACTAGTGACATGCATTTTCATTTACAACTAAAATAAGTATAACGAACATACAAATAAAAAGCAAACGAACATTTGTTCAAAGTGTGGGTGGTTGTTATATGAAAGGTGCCTAATTTTGTTTTTAATGCAACGTAAAGCAAATGTATCAGATATTAATTCCTCAGGTCCAATCCAATATCTATGGAGAAGTAAAATGCCGACATACAGTTAGATAACTCTTGGTTAGCCGAACATACCTAAATTATCGACAAAAAAATAGGAAATAGGAATCTTGATAACAGCTTTATTTTATACGAGAATGATTATGCTTGTCAAAATGCCATATAACCATTCAATTGCACTCTACGGATTCAAAAGTTTGACTAAATAGATTATGAATAAACCGTTTAGTATAAGGAAAATTTGTAAAAGAATAATGGGTGTGAAAATTCATATCGTTCATCGTTTCAGCATTGTATTTTGTTAATTTAAAAAATCAGGAAATTACAGAACAGTATAATTTAAAAATACTTTTACATAATAAAATATGTTTTGCTACACTATTTGATATAACAATATTTCTATTGTTAACATTTACAGAAAGGTATATACATACAAACAATATTGCCATTATGACGATAGATTTCAACCAGCAAGACAGATATTTTTTTTTTTTTTTTAAGGGAGAGGAGGTAAAAATGCTTTTACGCACACAGGTAGCCAGCCTGTAGTGTGAGACTCCTGAGCTTGTCAGACTACTCACTAAAAAACCCCCTCTACTCTGTTGGACACAGACCTGGGATAGTTTGTCACATTACTTCAGGTCAGGTCAACGTGTGACCTAAGCCCTCAGGGCTCGCGCCGTTTCTGGCATTCAATTTCTTTATGACCTAGACTGCATCTCGGTCAAGCTCTAGCTTCTTTGTGCGGAGAATATCCTGGACGAAATGTGACATACAGGTCCAATTGTCCTCACCCTCCGTCATCATCGGAATGACCGTGTCCACCAACAACTGCCCTACATGTTGTTCAGCCTCTAGGTGGGAACCTTCCCAACGCTGGCAGCGGAAGAAGGTGTGCTCCGCGTCGTCGGGAGTGCCTGGGCAGTAGATGCAATCGGGTGACACGGCTTTGCCCATCCTGAACAGGTACGACCGAAAAAACCCGTGACCTGTCAGAAACTGGGTAAGGTAATAGTCCACCTCACCATACCGTCGGTCAACCCATGGTTGGACTTGCTGAATCAGTCTCCTGGTCCAGCGTCCCCGCGACTCCTGTTCCCAGCTCTCCTGCCAGAGCTGGTAGGTGCGGTTGCGCTCCTCCATTTTTGCATGGTCCTCTCCACGCCGCTGATAAATCGCTTTCCTCTCCGCCGCCAAAAGTTTGACGGGGATTACTCCAGCAACCACCAAGATGGCAGGTTCAGACACTGTTCGGTAGGCGGATGCTACCCTGAGTGCTGCCTGACGCTGCACTCTGGCAAGCCGCATCCTATACACCTCCTTATTGAGCGCGTCTGCCCACACCTCCGCACCATACAGGAGCACAGACTGAACTGTAGACATCAACAGCCTTCTGCGACTGGAACGAGGACCTCCGACATTGGCCATTAACCGGCTAAGAGAAGAGATCACCTTAGCGGCCTTGTCCGCTGTTCGGAATATCTGGTCCCGCCAGCTAAGCTTAGAGTCCACCATGACACCAAGATACTTTGCGGCACGAACGGACTGGACTTCGACGTCCCCCACCCTCAACGGCACAATGGTGTCAATCCGCTTTTTGGTCAGAATCACGATCTCAGTTTTGTTCAGCGCGAGTAGGAGACCGTGATCTGCCATCCATGCGTTTATAGTTCGCATGACTCGGTTTAATTTTAGCTGGGCCAGCTCAACACTACGAGCAGGTATTAAAGCTGCAATGTCATCTGCGTACCCAACTAAAACGGTTTCTTCAGGCATTTCAGACCAAAGGAGGCTGTCGTAGGCAACGTTCCAGAGGTCCGGGCCGAGTATGGAACCTTGGGCAGCACCAGAAGTGACACTCATCGTCCGCGGGCCTTCTGTAGTATCATACATGAGGAGGCGGAACCGGAGGTAATCCTCTATAATGCGCATGAGGTATGCCGGGACGTGGAAGTTGTTCTCCAGAGCGTCCAGCATATCGCACCATCTTGCAGAATTAAATGCGTTTCGCACATCGAGTGTAACGAGCAGCACAACCCTACGAGAGTAGTGATTAAAATCCTCAGCTCTCATCACGGCTTGCTTCACC